TAGATCATTTAATACGATTAGAAGATCATTTTCAGTGACTGCAATACAGGGTGGTCCACGCAATTGTTTCAGGTCATAACTCCGTTATTAATGCATTTACGAAGAAATGCCAAAGGAGAAAGATAAATGGCTCGAAGAGCGCTACATCTGTAGGCCCTTAGATTTTTTTTAAGTGCAACAGTGCATGTACAATTAACAATTGCATCATTTTTTTAAATGGAAATGTATACTTTTTGTTGCACACATCGATTCCTCTGTTCATTCTACGTAAAAAATGATTACGGTACCGTGGCAAAAAAGTTATTAGTTCTCGAGATATTTTCAAAAAATGTCTTTATTGAAGAAGATGCTCAAACGCTTCTCCATTACATTGTAAACATTTCTGATAACGTTTTTTTATTGTTTTCATAACTTTGTTTAAATTATCTGTTAGTAAAATACATTTTCTTTTATTTAGTGAAATACAATCACAATTTTTCAAATTCTTAGTTTTCGTACTCCAGTTACGATACGTAAATTGCTACTGAATGATGAGATGCTTACTCGTACAAATCAGTTTCTGTTATGACAATGCCGAAACGGTGTTTACGTTTACTACATAGTCATGAAGCGTTTGAGCATCTTTTTCGATAAAGACACGTTAGGACAACATTGTCGAAACGGTGTTTACGTTTACTATATAGTCATGAAGCGTTTGAGCATCTTTTTCGATAAAGACATTTTTTGAAAATATCTCGGGAACTAATAAGTTTTTTGCCACGGTACCCTAATAATTTTCTACGTAGAACGAACAGAGGAATCGTTCTGTGCAACAAAAAATATGCATTTCCATTTAAAAAAATGATGCAATTGTTAATTGCACATGCACTGTTACACTTAAAAAAAATCTAAGGGCCTACAGATGTAGTGCTCTCCGAACCATTTATCCTTCTCCTTTGGCATTTCTTCGTAAATGCATTAATAACGGAGTTATGACCTGAAACAATTGTGTGAACCACCCTCTATACAGGGTGTATCTAGTAACTAGGCCGAATTATAACTCGGTTGTTAGTGAAGATAGAAAAACACGTAGAGGAAAGTTTTGCACGGTTTAACCAGCTGTATCATCCTGTAATGCGGCTTTTTACGGAACTGCATCGGTGCAGTTGCCAAGTGCAATTGCACTCGTTTTTTGAATGGCACTCTATGATCTTTTTGCATGAATCGATTCCTCGTTCTATTCTGAATAAAAAGTATTAGGGCCCAATTGTAAAAAACTCAATACTTTTCGAAATATTTACCTCTTTTTCCAGCATATACAGTAAATATTTAAATGTTCCACCATTCTAAACATTTTCTTACACATATTTCTACTATTTTCATCATATTGTTCAGTTGTTCCTCTACAACGTTTTTCTATCTTCAATAACAACCGAGTTACAACCTGGCCAAATTACTAGATGCACCCTGTATAGTATGTATTTGACATTTCACGAAAAGTAAGTATCAATTGCAGTTCCAAAAGTGTCATTATACTGTTTGTTCATTATCTCGAAAATATTTCGAAAGGGACCCCCTTTTATTCTACATTAAAATGTTGAAATGATAATTTTATTCATTATAATTAATACCGGTAATTAATTATCCCTAAAATAAATAGAAAGAGTCTCTTTCCAATCTTCGTATACACTACCGGTCAAAAGTTTGGAATCACTGTGCATTGCAAGTTACACAAAAATTCGCAGAAAAAAAGTCAGCATCATTACGAATTTTTTAACGAATTTTGTATCATTCAAATCAATCGATATGAGATAAATTGCTGTTTATCTCGACAATATCAGTAGCAGCCAAACTTTTGGCCGGTAGTGTAATAGCTGCTGCTACTTATTGTCTTTAAATTAACCGGATAAAAGACTCCTTTGACGAAAACGAAATTTTTAAGTAGATAAAATAATTAAATCCTAATTAGTCTACAAGAATCTACAGCTTTATGATATAATTGGTATCACAACCCCCTTCCTCTTTCCTGTGCCTTTTTCTTGCATGTTATGTCGATATTACAATCTAGCGTTTATATACAATCCTCAAATTCCTCGTAATTAATCGCGATGGAAACTAGGAAGTCGAAAATATATCTCTCCTACGATAACTAATGGTGTCTTGATCGTACGTCAAATGTTAATCACATCAATATAATATATTATTCGTTTGTTATTCATTATTCTCTTTTAGTTTATGTAACTGTAAGTTTATATCTGTGAAATCATAAACTGGCTAAGTTTTTGTGTAAATCATCAGTTTATCGTCAAGCGATCTTTTGTGAATTGTTACCACAGCTCTGTAGATTTAACGGTTTAACGATTCGACTAATGACCAAGCTGTAGTTGCGCGATTTTATTCTTTCAAGGCTTTAAAAGAAGCCGAGATAGAATTGTCAGCGCACATCTTTACGCTTACTGAAGTATCTAAACAGTGTTTGTAGTAGCGAAGTTGAAGCTTCTGATTTCAATATCACGATGGGAGTGAAGGTACATACCTTTGAATCTAATTGAAATTTCGCTTTGTTTAATTATTAATTTCTGATTAAATACGTGATATCAGTTAAGACAAGCTACGGTATAAAGCAATATAGAATCAATTGATAAAAATAAACAAATTTGAAGTCTGCTCTAATAATTAATGTGAAAACAAAGAATTTACAGTTGTCAGAAGTGAAATAAATGGTTGTAAAATGAAATTTTAATGATAAGTATTTGTATATTGAAAATACTTAGGCTTACATTTATGGTTTCTTCTAAATTTACGCTACTATCTTTCCAATTAGACCACAAGCATTTAAAATTTGTACCGGGAGCTGATAACAAATAATTAAGGAAAGATTAACTCAGAAAACATTGTTCTTCAATTTCAATTTTTGAGACATAAATGAATTATTATTTGTATTAGTTATACATTTATAACATTTTAATAAATTATCAATGTTCATATAAAATTTGATGTTTCCTTATTTCATAAATAATGTTAAATACTGCACTTTTCATCATTTCTCTGTACTATACAATAGAGAAGTAGTTGTAGTTACAAAGATTAGCAAGTTATTTCTTTGAAAATTATTTCTCAAAATTATTATTCTCGAGACTGCGTCGTAATATTTTTACGTTACTATCATTAAATGCGATGAATTTGTTCGATTGAGTAAAAATACTTTGGATAGAAACGATTCGGTATTCCCTACAAATATGCTATCAATATTCAATAAGAAAGTGTACATACATAAGTGTTTGTATATTTTTCATTTTTTCCTCGAATGAGTTAGTTATTTCTGAAAAATTAAAATATTGTGAATATACAGGGTGAGTAAAAGGAACCGGACCTGTCTTAGAATTGAAATTTCTCGTGGATTATCGGAGTTAGAAAGGAAGCCAGAAAATGTTTATTAAAATTAAATTTTTATGAAATATGTTACATGTGGATTGCACCAATGTCCCAGGTCCTATGTTTTTATCGATACAAAAATATATTTGCACGTTTCAGCTTCAAGTTTTTTTATGCAAACTAATTTTTTCATTTTTGTAACACAATTTCTATTTAATACAGAAGTAGATGCTATACATTTCACTTGAAAACAGACTTTCGCAGCTTTTGCATCAGAAGCATTGTGCTTTCAGCTAAACTTATGTTTTTTACTAAAAACAATTTGCAAATGTTATTCAGTTTATGACAAGCAATTGTAAAGTTTATACAAACATATGGTAGAATCTATGTTAGGTAGAGGAAAATGTCAGAAGGATGTGGACGAAGGAAGTAATCTTTCAGGAAGTTTCCTTTCTACTTGAAATATTCTTGTACTCGTGACGATCTTGATAATTCCCATGATCTATATAGTGTATGTTTTATAGAAGCAACGTCATCGTATCAAAAACCCTAATATGGTTTTCCTTATTGTCCTACGTTCAACTACATTGATGCAAACTTATGTGTATTCTGTATGGGCCTAGAAACCGGGACTTCCATTCTGAACGTTTGTACGTTCTAATAGCTTCGAAATAAACGATTGAGAAACTATTCCAGAGAAAGATATGTCGGTTTGACGTCTTTGACTCTCCTTTAAAATCGTTTGCACATGGGCCACATAACCAGTGTTTCACCAGCTGGTCTCACAATTGATACTTCGATATTATTAATCATTAACACATAGTGTCATTACGACAGGCATTACGAACAGTGCAAACGTAAGTGCATCGTGTATCTTCATTTATAGCTGCATAAGCATGAAAATCGAAAAATTGAAAAACCATAATGTTACAAGTGAACCGAGCTTGCTACAATGTAAATTTACATATTTTTTTAATTCTTCGTGTAACTTGTACGCTAGAAACCCTTTTCGATGGATATATGTATGTATATTTGTAGATTTGTATTTGATAACAGCACTAAGATATTACTATGCTCCTTTGAAAGGAATGCAACGGATTTGTCGTTGAAATATGCATCAAAACTATTCTGCATTAATATTACAATGTCATGTTACACCGGTTTTTGTTAATCCATTGTCTTGTATTTCTTATAGGATAGCCATACTTCATTTTATCAGTTAACAATTCATAGTATGGCATCTGTGACTACTGATTGTTCAATTTATATCATCGCACATTAACATAATCTGACTTAAAAATTCAAAAAATGATTCGGGTGAAATCAACGATGATATCAGATAACTTAAACAGTCTAACGCAGGCGTGTCCAACCTGCGGCCCGCTTTTTAGCCCGATTTCTAGCGATATTTTTCACGGCTCAATTGCATTCTAATAAAGAATATTAAAAAATAAGGGAGGTTTTGTTACTTATGTACAATTAACTGTATTATACATTTCGTGTGGTCTAGGCAAATCGAAAGGTTGGACACCCATGGTCTAACGTGTAAGAAATCATAAGAGATACCGTTGTTCTTTGTTCAGTTCGCAAAACTAACAAAATCATTTTCAACAATGGAATTCTTTCAAACATTTATGCCTTTTCAGGTTGAATATCGGTAAAAAATGACTTCGTCTAGTAGCCGCAAAAGTTCTTTGTTGATGTATAAAATCATTGCTTTGGCTGCATTAATTGGCGTCACAACCGTTGAAGCAGAACTTGAACTAGTGAACGTGGTAAGAAATATGGTTATTTATACATTTAGCATGTTTCCTAGCCGCAAGGTGCACTTTTTAGAATCTCGTAGTTTCGTCTTGATTCTGTATAAAATGAAACTAATTAAATGAAAGGTCGGATCAATATTTACGTGTAATTTGTACGATTTCACAGCTGTTTAGACATGGTGACAGAACACCGGATGATAGCACTAATGAAATGTATCCAAACGATCCTTATCTGAATGATGATTTTTATCCAATGGGTCGAGGTCAGCTAACTAATGTAAGTGCATCCGTTTTTCTTTTTTTTACCAATTTCTATCATTTCATAACCAACTTTCATACACGATCTCTAATTTGAAACTAAATCGTTTTAAATGACGGTATTGTTTTTAATAATTTCAGTTTATTTATTCCGTAAAGGAAATTCTTTTTCATTCGGACAGTATTCAACGTGACTTTTACTCCCCTTGATTCAATATTTTAATTAACGCTTTCAAATATTTTGTCGATATTCGATTTACAAATTGCATTGTATCTACTTTTTATTCGTACAAAATCTTCCGTATAAATTATACTTTACACTATTCCCAAAATTTATATTGTATTACTTCTAGTTTACGAAGACATTATTCAAATCGTAAAATTCAGATGTGATATTTAATTTTCAAATTTTGTATTATCGATTTATTGCTGATATGGCATTGAACGATCAATTCAGTAACGTGATTAAATCTTAAAGTCACCATAATGTATTTCTGCATAATTATATTAATCAACATGCATACATTCAACGAAAGTATTTAAGAAATATATGACAGAAAGGAAAATGAATGCATTTTAGGCAGGTAAACAGCGCGAATACACGTTGGGACTATTTTTAAGAGATAGATATGAAACGTTTTTGGGTGACACGTACAAGGTAAAGTCCGTCTCAGCCCTTAGTTCAGACTATGACAGAACGAAAATGTCTTTGCAATTGGTTCTGGCAGGGCTTTTCCCACCAAGCAAATTACAGCAATGGCACCAGGAGCTAAATTGGCAACCGATTCCTGCAAACTATTTACGGCGATACGAAGACAATGTCTTTCTTCCAGAAGACTGCCTTTTGTAAGTCCTTGTGAAAATATTATCGTGTTAATTACACGATATCATTGTGTGAAAGGAAATTTATTGATATATCACATAATCTCGTGTAATTACATTTGATCCCTAATGCAAAATATTCATGAATCTTGCGATATCGAGTAATTTTTGTTTACAGATTTGAGGTTGAATACAATAGAGTATTGAAGTCGCCTCAAGGTAAACACGAACTCTCTAAGTATAATGAGTTAATGAAACAATTAACAGAGTGGACAGGAAAAAGCATATCTACACCTTGGGATTTGTATTACCTCTACCACACATTGATGGCTGAATATTCTCTCGGCCTTACTTTGCCAGTTTGGGCAAACAAAGTGTTTCCAAAAGGAGAATTATGGAATGCAACTGTATTTTCATATAATATTGCCAACTCCACACCTTTACTTAAGAGACTTTATGGAGGTAACGTTGTAATTTCGATAATTTTGTAATTGTTGATTATTTTTAGTTTTTATTATTACATTTAGCTCTATAGTTTTCATTTGCTAAATTGTAATATGTTTAGTGACTTTAAGGTTGTTGATTACTTTTTTTTTTTAATCTTCTTTTAATATGATTATTTTGAAGGTTTGCTAAAACTTTTCAGTGCTATTTCAATTATTTGTTTTAATTGTCTTTACGCTGCCCAAGTCACAGATTCTTTATTTTGTACTTACTAATTGTTACTTGTGGCTACCTTGTGTTGTGTTTCTAATTTAAAAACTTTTATGTTAGGACCGTTTCTTCGAATTATCACAAGGCACATGTTAGATATGGTAACTGGGGTAAAGACGGGTGAGGAAAAATTGCGTTTGTTCAGTGGACATGAAAGTAACGTCGCTGCCGTTTTACATGCTCTTGATGTTTATTATCCTCACGTTCCTGAATATTCAAGTGCTGTGATATTAGAACTCCATCAGATCGAAAACATCTACTACATAAAGGTACGAAATAAGAAATACATATATGACGAACATTGTCTTTGGGGAATGAATTATTAGTTGTCAGAGTTTAAGATCAATCATAGAAAAATGCATATATTGATAACTTATCTCGTTTTATTTGGTTTCTTACTTGGTTTGCTAAGGACACATGTATTTGTAAATATTGAGGATATAGTAATTATTAATTTAATATTTTTGTGCTTGTGACTTAATGATTATTATTAGATGTCTGAACACATTTATAGGTATTCCTAACTATTTAGTCGCAATTCTTTAAGTTTCGTGTATGTGAATTGACTTCAAAGATTGACTTAAATTCTATTTTGAAACATTCTAATAAACAATATAAAAGATGAAACGGTTCTAGAAACTTATTAGAAGTAATTGAGCGAGTAATGCAATATTTCTCAAATTCCAATACTGATAATTTTGATAATGTAGTATGCAGGGTGTCCCGTAATTCCTTGAACACCCGGAAATGGGGGGTTGCTGGGGTGATTTGGAACAACTTTTTCCTTTTCCAAAATGTAGTTTGAAGCTTCGTTTTTGAATTATTAACGAAAAACACTGGCCAATCAGAGCGCGCGTAGAGCTCGCGCTCAGGGACGGGCGAACAGAGACTCACCCGCGCGCTATCGTGAACGACGCGTTCTGTTTTTTTCCTCACTTTCCCTGCGGACCGCATGACGTTTGCCGAGGGCCGATTATATGAGTTCATAGTGCGATTTTCACAATCTTTAACCGTTTGTAGCTCATAGCAACATTAACCGATTTCGATGAAATTTTCAGCGTGTGTATAATTGACATAGATCTACAAAACGTATTTTTAAAATTTTCATTACGAGCTCGGATAAAAAAGTTGTAAAAACGACTTTTGCTATTTTCTGCACGATTCCGACTAATTGCAGTTTTTTCAAAAATTTTTTTACACGTCATCTAGTAAACTGATCTTTCTAACTTCTCAAAAGAACTCCAGTTGTTTGGCCCAATTTTAAAAAAGTTATTCCATTTTATAGGGTGTATGAATACTTTTGTCCTCCACTGTATGTATTGTTATACAAACATCGGAACGACGGCAAAAAACCATTTCTCTAAGCCTTATAAAAATAGCGGTGCAAAGTCAAATTTTTTTGACAGCGATCGATAACCGAGAAGTCACGCGTACGCGTCGTTCACGATAGCGCGTGAGTGAATCTCCGTTCGCCCGTCCCTGAGCGCGGCCTCTACGCGCGCTGTGATTGGCCAGTGTTTTTCGTTAATAACTCGAAAACGAAGCTTCAAACTACATTTTGGAAAAGGAGAAAGTTGTTCAGAGTCACCCCAGCAACACCTCATTTCCGGATGTTCGAAGAGTTACAGGACACCTGTATATTATATCCTGGTTTAATTTAGTAGCATTTTTTTATGATATTGTCAACGTATACATATATCTGCTATTTTTGAAGACTCAAATATTTTTAGTTCCTTAGCATGTCATTAATCACCCCAGCAACCCCTCATTTCCGGATGTTCAAAGAGTTACGGGACACCTGTATATTATATCCTGGTTTAATTTAGTAGCATTTTTTTACGATATTGTCGACGTATACATATATCTGCTATTTTTGAAGACTCAAATATTTTTAGTTCCTTAGCATGTCATTAATTTTACAATCAGAAGAAGTGCTAAATGTTTAATTGGTTTTTAAGAGCTTGGCCTCTTCTGCTCAATAGCAATTGACGTATCGTAATCTTGTATTTGTGGACAACATTGAACGACCTGAACTTAACGAATTTTAAATTACCTTCGACCGGCACGTGGATGCTGTACGGATATTTACTTGTGCTTGATGCACGCACGACATGACAGGGCGTGAACGATAGCTTCAAAGAAGTATACACCCATCCCTCCATTTACGCGGTACTTCAGAGAGACGTAAATTCTTACTTGAACGTACTAATTACGTAACTCTGACCTTTTATGTTTTTTTTTCCGTAGGACCTTTTGTCCTACGATTTAAGTTTTACAGTACAGATTCTGACATCGAATAAAACTTATTTTGGTTTTCTGAAATATCATTATTTTTTTTATTAACCTATGCGATTTAAATGTTTTTATAACTTATACCTGTTTTTCTTACCATGTTTCTTTTTCATACAAGCAGAACTCTATTTACGCAAAAAACGGTCAATCCGCGTAAATGGAGGGATGGGTGTATGTATACTGAAAATTTCTAACCTTTTTCGTCGGACAGTATACAGGGTGTCTGTTTTATCTCAATACAGTAAAACATCTTTTAAGGAAGTGATGTTAGGGAAAAAATGTTTTAATAAAAGTTGTTTGGTACGGAGGGGGAAATTATGTGGTATAAATATTTTTTTTGTACCCGATATGGTGGGGGAGATTTCAAAGTCAGTTTAATTTTTTTAAATAGAATGCTATATTTTTTTATACACAGTGTGATAGTGTATGTTAAGACAAGTTCAGCGAGGTGAGAACATAGTCATTTTCTTTCATGGAAGGTCGCAAAATTGCGAAAAACCGGGAGCCGGACCACCATACGTTCCTCACTGTCGCGTGTGTCTGTTTTATCAAAGTACATATTTCAAAGGACACTTATACGGACACTTGTGATATTTGTAAAGATAATTGTAGATACTTTTAGACATTCTTACAAAGATTTCTTTAGATATTCCTTTAAACCAAGTCATAAACAGGTTTTGAACACGGACTAATCACATAATCTAGAATTGAACCGAACATTGTTATTGTTACAATCAATTTCTTCGATAATTTAATTTACTAATTTAATTTGTTAAATTCTTGGTATTATAGGTACTTAACTATTTGGGCATTCCGTCCCAAGTAATAGAACTTCAAATACCTGGTTGCGAAATACTTTGTCCTTTGGACAAGTATCTACATTTGATAGAGGAAGTAATACCGTCGAACGAAGAACTAATTTGTGATAAGGGGCTAACGGAGGAGAATGTCGACAAGAAATCAATCGAGGAACTGGAATTAATGAAGTACAATCTAATAAGAACTGCTGGACTCATTAAAGCTAAGTAAACAAAGCAGGGAAATTTAATTATTAAATCTTAATTACATTTCTGTAAAACCAAAGGAAACTTCAGAGTAATGATGAAGTATGTAAATACAACGAACCATAGATTGGTTAAAAGTTTTACATAGAACCAAAAAGTATTTATAAATTAGTGGTATTAATTATGTACTATTGATGTTATGCGAAAAGATTAGATACGAAAAACGTGATTCATATTTTGTTAATTGTATATAAAATTGTGTGTATATGAGTATATGCATAAATATATAAATATACATGGGCAATTA